AGGCTTGTCCTTTTCTTTCCCTTGTCGACCGGCCTCGCCTTAGGCGTCGGTGGCAGCGGTGGCGCGGGCAGGGATGCAGAGGCATTTCGCAGTGCTTCACGAGCATGATCATCAGAAATTGAGTATCCCGCGGGTACATCTCCTGATCTTGTCCAAGCTTGCCCGCGGGAGGTCTACTCTTCTCCCCGCGATTCATCTTCGCGGTCTGTCGCGAATTTTGCATTGTACTCGTTCGCGCTGAACCAGAACCATGTTCGGTGACGTTGCCGTTGTCGCCCGTCGGCGTGATCCAGCGAAACGCCCCAACCGCCATCGCGCGCGCTTCCGCCTGCATCATCAACGGGTCGTCCGCCCGCGCAAGCGACCGATCCCGATCATGTCGCATCGCGTTCGGGGTCGTTGCCCGACGCGGCTGAGCCGGCGGGCACTGGGTTGCGCGGGGCTGGTCTAGAGGCACGCTTCTCAATCCAGCCAGCCCTAATCCTTTCAGCGACATCCATCGGACACCTCGAGGGCGTTCGAGCGCCCCGTGCGCTTCTCCACCCCGAAGCGGCAGAGCCACCCGGGACGTTGGCATCAGCGCGCGGGGCCACTAGGCCTGCAGAGCGCTGCGCAGCAATTCCCAGCGCGACTGGGTCGTCAGGGGTTGCAGGAGGAGGGTTGGTTGAGCCGACCTTCTTGGTGGGATTCTTCACATGGCTAATGAGACCAATGGCATTGTCTGTGACAAAATATCCATAACGGCTAATAGCCAACTGAGTTCTCGCAAGTGGAACAACCTGCGCATGTATTGCCATGGTTCTATGGCATATTGTATTTTTGCGCATCGCAACGTCGGATAGCGCCACGAACTGCATCGCCGAAGCCTTCGGTCCACTTACGAAGCAGATCGGACGATTGAATCGTTGACCTGATCCGGCTGTCCAGCGCGCGTGCGTCGGTCAGTCTGGGGTCGACGGCGATATTTGCAGCAGTCCTGTTTCGCTGCGGTTCATGACCCGGGAAAACAACATGAAGTCTTTCTGCCATGAACAAGAGTGTAACTTCCAATATCCACAAGCATCCGCCCCCATCGCCCACGGACGGGGATTATGTCACAGGGTTCATCCCGCACTTCGTAAATAAGCTCAGCCATACCCCGGCGGCACTTTTTGAACTACATCTTCTTCCAGTTGCACAACAAAGGCTGGTGCGGTCAAGTATTCAAGAACAAACTGCACCGCGACGTCGATGGCATCGCGTCGCGGCAAGTTCATGCCATTTCCCGCCATCCCGCCCCGCGTCGGACATGCATCCCGAGATGGGAACTCAATCGAGCCAAAACGGGCAGTGTTCATCCTGGGGCGTCCATCCCTGGACGCTTTGGCATAGCGCCGTCGGATTGCATGCCTCCTGACGCTTCGGCAAGCCGGTCGCAAACCATAATTACTCCGTCCGGCCGGCTGGGCAGGGGACAAAACGATGCAGAGTCAACATCAACGTTCTCGATGATTTTCGGGGTAGGCGTATCGACGCGCCTCAACCGTTCCGCGAGCGTCTCTACGGTTGGAATGTGTACACCTATGTCACTCTTGCTTCCTGCCCAGTGGTCACAACCTTCTGGCGGGCCCAGTTAGTTGCGATCGACGCGGGCCCAATCGAAGATGGCAAAAGCAAGATATCGAAATGGACAAGCGCACTGGTCGACATCAGAACCATATCAACGGCCACCCTTGGACCGCAATTGGAAGAGCTTTGCTTTCTGATCTTGCCTCATTGAAACCAGTTCACGAAACGAAACGAAGTTTCGAAAACTCATGATCTTGTGCCAACCAGTGGGCGGTGGACTTGAGAGACGAAGTCGACGTCGAAGTGCGCACGATGAAATCAATACCGAAATGCATTCGGGGACCACTTCTGCGCAATCTCACTCAATGCTTAGTGGCAGTTGAGCGTGCGCATCTTGGTTGGGATCACGATGGAGCAGGAGAAGGCGAATGCATTTGAGCTTGGATACTTCTCGTACTGCTGCCCCGAATGCTCCTGCACCCGACCGCGCACGGTGGACAAGCAGGAGAGCGGGATTCCTTACTCCTTTCCTCCTTCTTCCACCTCCCCTTCCATTCCTCCCTCGCTACCCTCTCACTTTGGCGCACACCTCGCACGTTTCATGGCGCCAAGGTCCCAATCGCCCTCTACCCTTCTAGCCCTATGGCCTTTAGCTCTACAGTAGCCTGATAGCCTTATAGCTATGGGGATGCGCCTCCCCGGCGGCGAGTGGGGTCGAGGGAGGTCTCGGCGATCCCCCCCCCGACGGGGAGGAGAACGAGGCAGAGGAAACAAAAGGAAGGAATGATGAGGAAGAGGAGAAGGAGGAGGAAAACGACGAACAAGCAGAAAAAGAGAAAGACGAGGAAAAAGAGGGCGGATGACTGGGAAATGAAAGCATGAACATACATTCCTCCGAACCAAATTCTCCCTTCCTGTCGTTGTCGCCGTCTTTTCGACCACGGATTTGTCAGTCGCTCTCCCCAGAGCGCCACCGGATCCCGCAGGGCGTCCCCCGTCGGGGGAGAGAGAAAAGAAAACACTCTGTCTCGCTCGGAAAACGGATTCGCAGCTTGAGAATTCCATCCGCGTCCTCATTACGTGAAAGGGGAGCCCCTTCCCTTTCTCCCCTCCCCGGCGGAGGGTGAGGTCCGGGGAAGGGACGGGGGTTCAGATTCGCATCGCCTCTGGGGGTCCTCCTTTTCCACGCCGGTCCTTCTCCGGCGCGTCGGTCCTCCTCAGGTCGTCCTCCCCAGAAGTGTAAAGGAATCCCAGGGGGGGGGGGGGAGTCAGATACATCCGTCCCTGGGGGTCTTCCCCCAGTCCCTTCCCTTTTCCCGCGCCGGTCCTCCTCCGCTCCTCTCCCACGCCGGTCCTCCTCTTCGTACGCGCGCGCAGGCGACATCGAGCGCCCAGAAAATGGGATAAAGACTGTGGTGTAGTAGGTTCCCTTTATAGACGGTAGGAAGATGTAAGCAGTGAAAGAAAGGAGGTAGGTTGAGGGGATATGTGAGTTCTTGAGCCCTTGAGTCCTGATTCGACCCCCACAGACGGGGAAAACATAAACGATGACGACAAATATTTGATAACGTATCATGGCAATGATCTGAATGTACATTAGAAGCGTCCGCAACTAGGACAACCAATGATCTTTCATAGAATATGCAATCGCCCCTCTAAACAACGTTTCTGTAATTGCCCGCCTGCGAGCAATAGCTTCTGTCACAATTTCCTCTGCTTTTGGTAACTGTCCATCTTGGTTTCAATAACGACCATCATGCTGCAAATCCAGCCTTTTGCAACAACTCCGCGACCACCTGGCTACGCTTTGGGACATTCGTGTTCTCGAATCCAGCGCGGATGGCTTAGAAGGACATTTACATTGGTGGGCACCCTCCATGGCTCGAAACGTCACGCCCCTGCGCTGCCGGTGGACTATTTTCGGGTTGCGCTTATCCGACATTTGTTTTTATTTTGGAATTGGCGCGGCGGGCCTTCGATACCTGGCCTGGTGGGTAAACGTCTACGGGACAAGAAGTGGGTCCATGTGTAATGGCACAACTGAGCAATATCGGGCCAACATTTGCGGAACCTGTCTTGAACAATCCACCATTCGGTACACTACGGGGTCTTGTAACTCATCATCTTGCATCCAGAATGTGCGCGCAAGCCATTCATTCATAGAATTATCTCCAAAAACAACAAATCTTTCTCCCGATAGCATAAGGGAACAAACATTGATACTCTGAGGTCCGCGCGGATTTCTCGGATCGGTACTGGACCCCTCCCAAACGCGTGGAGCGCGCTAGGGGTGGCGCTGGAGGCGCCGCCATGGGGGCCCCAGCGTCGATCCGAGGAATCCGAACGGACCCCCGAGTCCTTTATGTTTCTGTCATTGGTGTTCCCCTAGAACAAGCGCTGCTGCTGGGCATAGTGCCCGTATCTTCCGCCTCCACTCTGGGCGCGCATGCGCTTGGCCGTTCCCGGGCCCCTCGCCCGGCGGCCCCCACTGCCGAGGCACTTGCGCGGACGTGTGGGGGACCAGGGTACGCTCTGAAAGAGGTGAGGGGGCCATGAAAACTGGGGAGGTATCATGGCCCTGGGCATGATTTCCCCCCCCCTCCCTCGTCATCACCCCCCCCTTGGCCCCCCCCCACCGATCATCACCTCCCTCTCGGCCGCCCCCGCCCCTCGCCCACCGCCTCCGGGCCTCGCCCACCGCCCCTCGGCCGACGCCCTCCTCCGGGCCGTAAGGCACGGGCGCCCGCCGATGCGCAGCCCCTCCCGCCGCGGGCGCGCCCGCCCGCTCTGGCCGCCCTTTGCGCGCAGCTGTGCGCTCAAGATCTCCGCCGCCGCGCCGCGACAGAGTGCAGTGTTCTCGGGCCCAGTAATAAGACGAAGCCAGGGTCGGGACTCGCATCGGGGTAACCCTCGGGAATCTCTGCGGTTCGGCGGCTCCACGGCGCCCTGGAACGCTCCGAGAGCGTTCCAGAACGCTCTGAAACAATGCACCACTGTCCCAGCACCGCCCAACTGTGTCCTCGGGCCCTGTGCTCCTCGGGCCCCGTGGTAAGACGAAACCAAAGTCGCGACATTCTACCCCTCCTACTTCCACCGCCCTACCGCATAATCATCCGATGGATGCCAACTAATCGAAATCGAGAGGCGGTTCCCCCCTTTCGGGGAAGATTTCATTAACTTGAATGCTACTGATAACGCCGGGGGGATCTGTGATTGCAGGCCCAGGTCCAATCGGGAAGCTTTGAGATTCTGCGGTTCTGGACGATGCATCGGGTGCCGCGGCCTTTCCAGAGCGCTCCGAAAGCGCCCTGGAGCGCTGTGAAACGATTTATTGTTGTCCTAGCCCGCCCGACAATGTCCTCGGCCCCGTGGAGCAGACCTCCAAGACTGCGCCGGGAGAGCTCTGCGGAGAGGAGGTGGGCCAGATGGGGCCGGAGTGGTCGGAGGATCACACCGCATCGCCGATGCATCGCCGACGTCGGGATGGAGAAAATAGGGCTTCATATCGATCCGCAACGCGGGTGCATCGGCAATGCGGCGCGACACTCAGCTCACGGGCGCTCCGGGGTGCACTTGAGGACGGCCGCATGACTTTTCCGGATGCCCTGGGGGCCGCGGGTCGGACCCCTAGCTTCCACTATGCCCTGACACGGTCCCAAGGGTCCACCCCAAGACCTTCTCAAGAGTTTCTGGTGCCGTGGAGGCCCCCATGGGGCCTGCCCACAAACCCTTTGTTTTTTTTGGTCGTCATCCGAGCGTCCGAGGCGGCCCACGAGAAAAGGCCCCCGAGAGAGCCGAGAAGAGCGAACACTGCCTCCCAGGATAGCCTTCGGTCGCGCCAGCAGGCCCCAAACCCCCAAGCCAACTCCCCAAGGAGCCTCAGGAACCCTCCAAAAACCATTCCAAAAACCCCCAACCGATCTCCCAAACGCGCCTCTCAATCACGATCCAGGCGCAGTGGCAAGTTGGCCGGAAACCACTAGATCCGCCACCGTGCTCAAGGCACGCAGTAGAAACCAGTAGATTTCCCCATATCACTTCGAATTCCCAGGGATGAATATAATTTTCCCAACCATCGTGTCGTGTTGGGTCCTCGTTTTGAAATGACAGCGCCCCGCGAATCCTCCTCCTCTCCTCCCCCTCCCCCTCCTCCCATGATGATCATCAACATCAACATCGTCATCATCATCATCATCATCATCCTTATCATCCTCCTCCACATCATCACCACCCTCATCATCATCATCATCATCATCATCATCATCATCATCATCATCATCATCATCATCATCATCATCATCAGTGCCGCCATCGGCATCCATTTTTGGCACACCCCTCACACGGCTCGTGGCCCCAAAGGGAGCTCCACCTAACGCTCCGATTGCGACGTTGCCATGCGTCCCCGCCGCCCATTTTGGAACACCTCTCACACGGTTCGTGGCCCCATATGGAGCTCCGACGCATGCCCCAGTGGCGACGTTCCCATGCGTCCGCGCCACCCAAGGCTCCAGTGCCGACTTTCCTATGCGTTCCCGCCACCCATTTTGGCACACCCCTCACACGGTTCGTGGCCCCATAGGGAACTGCACCGAAGGCCCCAGTGGAGACGATCCCATGCGTCCCCGCCGCCTATTTTGGCATACTCCTCACACGGTTCGTGGCCCCGTGAAGAGCTCAGCCGATGGCTCCGGCTGCGGCGTCCCCGTGCGTCCCCGCCACCAATTGTGGCGCGCCCCTCGCACGGTTCGTGGCCCCGTATGGAGTTCCTAAGGCCCCAGTGGCGCCGTTCCCATGCGTCCCCGCCGTCCATTTTGGCACACCCCTCACACGGCTCGTGGCCCCATAGGGAGTTCCCTCGAAGGCTCCAGCGGTGACGTTCCCATCCGTCACCGCTGCCCATTTTGGGACATTTTTCCCACGGCTCATGGCCCCATAGGGAGCTTCTCTTGAGGAGGGCGCGCCGCTGGATGGCCCTAACGGGGGGGGGGGGGGGGGCACCCCTCCCCCCCGCCCCCCTCCCCGATCCGTCGTCGGGAACCCCTTCCCTCACCCCCATTCCCGATCCGTCGTCGGGGACCCCCCTCCCCTTTCCCGGTCCGTCGTCGGGGAACCCCCCTTCCTCCTCCCCTTTCAAAAGGGGGGGGGTCCGACCCCTCCCTCTCCCCCCCTTTGGCCGTAAAATTCGACCCCCCCCCTCCTTTCGCCACGGCGCCCCCGGTCTCCGGAACCCGACCCCTACCACCTCTAACGCTAATTCTCAATCGCTGTTCCCTATTAATAAACATCCCCTCCCCCAGGCGACGGGGGGCCAACCAGGGTCCATGACGACACCTCCCGACCATTCCTTGCAAAAAACAGTGCAAACCACAGTCTGTCTCCAAATTCGGAGCATGCGCAGCCAACACGATGCGGCCCCCCACCCCACCATCCCTGTCAAAAAACAATAGATAGTACACTTGGCGGCGGCGGCGGCGGCTGCGGCGGCTGCGGCGGCGGCGGCGGCGGCGGCGACTGCGGCGGCGGCGGCGGCGGTGGTGGCGGTGGCGGTGGTGGCAGCGGCTGCGGCTGCGGCGGCGGTTTGGCAGCGGGGGGCGGCGGCGGCGGCTGGCGGCGGCGGCGGCGGCGGGCGGCGGCGGCGCGCAGGCGGCGGCGGGCGCGGCGGCGGCGGCGGCGGCAGGCGGCGGCGGCGGGCAGCGGCGGCGGCGGCGGCGGCGGCGCACGCGGCGGCGGCGGCGGCGGATTGGCCCCCAGTAGCTGCCCATCCAAAGACGACTGCTGAATATGCTCAGGCTCGGGCCAGACTCGGGTGCTACGTATGTGCGGGAAGGCGGGTGGGAGTGAGTGAGACGGCTTGCGGGCGGGGAGGGGGTCTTGCCCTTACCCTAACCCCGAACCCTAACCCACACCCTAACCCCAAACAGTACTCACTACTCACTACGCACTACTTACCGCTACTCACTACTCACTTCTCACTACTCACTACTCACGACTCACTACTCACTACCCACGACTCACTACCCACAACGCACTACTCCCTACTCCCTACCCCCTACTCAATACAAACTAACTAATCAGAAACCACTACTCACGATCCATTCCTCAAAACTCACACTTCACTACTCACTACTCACTGCCCACAACTCACTAATCACAATCCACTAGTCGCTACTCCCTACACAATATTCACTACTCACTGCTCACTACTCGCTACTCCCTACGCCCTATTCGCTACCCAATACGCACACTACCCACTACTCACTACTCACTACTCACTTCGCTCCCGCTACCCACTACTCACTACTTCCTACTCCCAACTCCCTCACTCCCCAGTAACAACTTACTACTGAGAATTCACAATTCACTAATCACTACGCACTGCCCACAACTCACTACTCACTATCCGTTACTCGCTGCGCAATACGACATATTCACTACCCACTACGCACTACTCGCTACTCGCGACGCACTAACCACTCTCATAAAATTATACTCGCTACTCCCTACGCACTGCCCGCTACTCAATACCCACTTCTCGCTTCTCACTACTCACTACTCCCTACTCACTACTCACAACTCACTACTCACTACTCGCTACTCGCTACTCCCTTTTCGCTACGCACTACTCCCTACTCACTACTAACTACTCCCTTCTCACTAGTCACTACTCACAGCGCCCGGCTTGTTACACACTACTCACTACTCGCTACTCGCCACCCCCTACTCGCTACTCCCTACTCGCTACTCACCACTCACTGCGCACTACTGACTACTCACTACTCACTACTCATTCTTCGCTCGTCGCTACTGTCTACTCCCTCATCCCTACTCCCTGCGTGCTACTCACTATGCACTACGCACTACACACTACGCACTCCTCACTACTCACAAGTCCTTACTCAGTACTTCCTTCCTGCTACGCACTACCCGCTACTCACTGCTCAATAATCTCCACGCGCTACTTACTACTACCACTACCCATTGCCCACTACTCACCACTCACGGCTCACTGCGCACTACTCACTATCAAATACCCACTACTCACCAATCGCTACTCAAAACGCTCTATTCTCAACTCACTACCCGAAAGGCGCCCCCTGTTCGGCGCAAAGGGGGGGAGGGGGGGGTCGAACCCTCCCCCTTTCCAGGGCCAAGAGGGGGGGGAGGGGGGGGTCGTCAATCGCACCCCCCCTTTGAAGGGGTGAGGGGGGGGGGTGGGGGGGGAGAGGGGGGGGTTCTGCGAGCCCCCCCTTTCCTTTTGTGTATTCAGGGCCATCCACTGGCGCGCTTTCCCACTTGAGGCACGAGTGGCGACGTTCCAATGCGCCCCCGCCACCCATGTCGGCGCGCCCCTCACGCGGTTCCCGGCCCCATAGGGGGCTCCACCGAAAGCCCCAGTGGCGACGTTCCCACGCGTCCCCGCCACCCATTATCGGCGCGCCTCCCACGCGGCGCGTGGCCCCATAAGGCGCGCCACCGAAGACGATATCCACAATTGCGGTACTCACATCTGCGAATGGTTGGGCCCTTCGCCAAGCTAATGTTGAAACAGGCTGAGGCCCCTCGAATTCAGGGACTCCTGGGCGCTTTCGGGCGCTCCGTGGGCCCGGGTCGTGGCTTGCCTGGGCTCTCCCTCCTCGGAGTGGTTCGAGATTCAATCTTCCATCGCAAGTAGCAGCGAGGCATAGGACCCCCCGTTGCATTGCCCCGGCGGAGCACCGCGGCCCAAGCCGAGGGGCCTATTGTCGCGGCGAGGGGCCACGTGGATGGTGGGGGCCTTTTATGATTGCAGTGCCGATGTGAACGCAACGGTGGTGGTGGGAGTGGTGACGATAGAGGCGCCCAACAGCGGTCCAAGAGGGCCCCAAGACGGCCGCGAAAGGCGCTTAAAAGAAGGAGCACGCACCGAACATCCGAGCCTTCCGCACCAAGATGCCCCCAGGAGGCCCCAATTGGAGCACAGGAAGCCCCAAGAGGCCCCTAAGAGGCCCCCAAGAGGGCCCAAGAGGCCCCCAAGAGGCCCAAAAGATGCCACGAGAGGCCCCCAAGCGGCCCCCAAGAGGCGTCCAGACTGCTTCCAAGAGGCCCCCGAGAAGACTCCCACAAGATTCCAACGAACATCAAATAGACGTCATACCCACAACCCAGGCACGGTGGCGGGATGGGCCGAAGGCCATTCGATAGGCAGGGGGCGACGGTGTTTCGCCGTAGGCGAATTCGATCATGCCCACACCCATAGATATTCACAAGCGGTTGCCTACATCTGCAACGTGCATGGCAACACATACCTGTGCAACACTGCGCGCTGCATCACCGAAGAAAACCGCCTGATTCCAGAATGCTACGGAAGGGCGACTACCTGAAGACAATTTGCCGCCAACGCGTGCCGCCTCACAGCGGCTCGGTGCTTTCTGCGGCTGGCCAGGACCTGTGCAATATGCAAACAAAAACACTTTCAACATCATCGAAACTCGTTAGCATGTACGCGCGAATCCAAATACACATCCGCACCCGTACCCCCCCCCCCACATATATATATATATATATATATATATGTATACACATGCACATGCGTGTGGATGTCCATGCACGCGGATGCGTATACCATGAACGTATTGTATAAGCGCGCCACACAACATCGCGTTCCACCGTGCCACTTGGCACACTGATGCGTGCGTGGTATGATGCAACAAACTGCTGTCCGGTAGAACATGTTGGACACGTTCCGAGAGACTTCTTTCGGAATGAATTGATGGGGGGGCGACGAATTGGGGAGAGAAAGGGGCACTTTTCGGGCCCTGGAGGCCCCCTTTCGGGGCCCGAAAGGGCCCCTGTAGGAGCCCTGAATGGTCTCTTTTCTGCGGCCCTTTCGGGCCCTAAAGGGTGATGTTTGGGCCCGAAAAGTGAACCTTTCTTCCACCCTCATGTGTCGCCCCCCCCCCATTACGCGTGGCCCAAGTGGTATGCTGCAAACTGCTCTCCGGTAGAGAACTTGGGACGACATTCTGGGGACCCCTCCCTCTTCTTAGGCGAACCATGGGGGCGAGCGCGGCCAGGCGGCTGTCACCCTGCACATCCTCCACCTCCTGCCGACGCGAACCTCCATAGCCTCCACCTGGGATGGCAACGGCCGGGACCCCTTCCTCCCTGTCACGCTCCAGCTCGTGCATCGCCCCCCCGCTCCGAGGCTCCCAGGGTCCCTGGGCGGCCCGGCGCCTCCCTGGGGGGGGAGCTCTCCAGAGCTCCCATGGCCTCCAAGGCGGCCGCCGCCAAGATGGGCCAACACTTGCCATCGCTCGGACGTCCATTCTCCGTGCATGTTTCAGCTTCGTGCGTGCTTGTTTGGCCAAGTAGATCATCCGAGATGCTCCTCTCTGGTTCTCGCCGGGAAAAAGGCACACGTCCAAGCGGTGCTACGAACATTGCCCGAACGACCAGCCAACAACCCCCAACAATACGCCAAGCGGCGGCAAACAGGGAAGGGCAGGAGGCCTTCCAGGAAAGCTAAAATCGCTGACAAGCCTAACATAATTTTGAACCTTCAAACATTTTGCGCTTCCCCGCCTTCTGCCTTAATATTGGCTCGAAGAGTGCTGTCGAGAAGACGAACATATATCAAATCCAATGAGTGTCCCAGAGAACTCCCCAGACGGCCCAGGACAGACCCAAGAGGATCCCACAACGGCCCAAGAGGGGCCCAGTACAGCCCAAGCGAGCCCCGAAATGTTCTAACAGGGCCCGAGGATGTCCTAAAGTCAGCCCAGAGTGGCCCAGAGTGGCGGAAATGTTCCAACAGGGCCTGAGGATGCCCCGATGGGCCAGAATGGCTCACCCAAGATGCATCAAGCCGGCCGTTGAGGTGCCCAAGACGGCCTCAGAGTGTCCTAAGACAGCTCCAAAGGAGCCTGAGACAGCTCCAAAACGGCCCAAGTAGGCTTGTGAGAGGCATCACATGTTACAGCCTTCTGGGCGTCGCCACGCAGGAGTGATGGAACTGGCACGGTGGCGGAACTTGCCGCAGGCAGCCTGAGACGACCTGCTCCTGACCCAGACTGATTGAACACAAATTTGCAGGAGTCCCCCAGCGCTCCCCTGCGCCCGCCGCGTGGGCTGGGCACCGCGATGCTCCTGCTGCAGGCTCACCGCGACGCAGCGAGGCCACCCCCTCAACTGGAGCCCGCCGCCCCGTCCTCCTGGCCAGCAGGACGGAAATGACGAGACGAACGCAACGGTCACCGTGCTGGCGCAAATCGAGACTGCAAGCGCGGCGCTGAGAGCAGAAACCAGCAGACGAACACCACGGCATCCCCCCCCCTGGACGCGAACTCGGAGGGGGGGGAAGAGGGTCGGGAAGGGAAGGAGGAGGAGGAGGACGAGGAGGAGGAGAAGGAGCGTGAGAGGGAAGAGGGTCAAGGGGAAAGATCCCTACATTTCCTCATCCTTTTCCGTCCTCTTCCACCCTGCTTCTTCGTCCCCCTATTCCTCCACCCCTCTCATCATCTGCATGCCGCTTCCGTAGAGAACTCGGCAGCCTTGAACTCAAGCAATCCAACATCCTCCATCTAATACTAGGTCTCCCGTCCATTTTACACTTATCAACCCTATTTCAAACTAAGCATCTCATGCAACTCGCATTAGACACACCTTCCACAAACCAGGTGGGACGTCCGCGAGTTGGACAACCCCCAAAGGACGCGCCTCTCATAGTTTTTACCCGCATCATGCTGGGCTGACGAAATCAACGCCCCGCGAAACAATGCGGACTTGCTTGCAAGAAGGGGCGGGGAAGAATGGTTGAGGGATGTTCCGTCCCTGGACCTCCACTTCTCAGTCTGGCGAGCGCGGGATGCCAGGGCACTCAGCACCAGCTCGGCGTCACTCGTGAAGATCCCGCTCAGCTCCTGCTGCATCGTACTCCCATCTAGCCAATCTAGCTCGTCGTGCAGCCGCCTGGCGACAAGGAAAGAATACGATCGCGTGCGAGCACATACAACATCACGCGCGTAGTTTCGCGCACGTGCACTCGACGCCGCTCCCACAGACCGGCCTGTCGTGCCTCAACTATGACTTCACATCCGTGCTCATCGTCCTTGCCCTCGTCGTCGTCCTCCTCCTCGTCATCCTTCCTTCCTTGCTCTCCACATCCTCTGTTTCCGTCTCATCGTCTTCATCCTCCTTCCTCCTTCATCCACCAACTGTCCGTATGTTCGAATCACGTAGGTCACGCGCATGATGTGGACGTCGCCTGATCACAAAAAGTGCTTGAACCACGTGTTTCGCGACGGCGAGGCGCGCATACCGATGGCTCCCCATGATCATCCCTCCCTCTCCTCCGCGCCCTCCTGAGCCCTTGGAAAAGGTCGCCTCCCCGCTGCTGCTCTTTCTAGCCTCGCGCCAACGATGCGATCCACCTGCTACGCCGATCCCCTTTTTCTCTCGATCAATGCGCATGACGGCCGATTAATAAATATGCGCCCAAGCTCCGTGCACGACCGCGTGAACTTCAAAGCCCGAACATGAGAAAGGGGGTAGAGGGGCGCCAAGTCGCACACCGACCTCTGTTCAATCCAAGGCGGGACCGATGCTTGTGAGAAACCTGGCTTCAACGCAGCCAGGTCGAGAATCGTGAATGACCACGAGCACTCGTGCAATGCAATGCAAGAACAAGGAAGAGCAGCGGGAGGAGGGAGGAGGAGCGCAACGGAGGGGGTGCGCAAAAAAGCGGCTCACGCCGTCGCCATCATAGTGTCGTTCCCCGGCACCGGCATCAAAATCTCCCTGCCCATCTTGCTGGTGCTACGGCTGATGAAGACAGTCGGAAGCACGATGAAGATTGCAGGTCGCCTTCCCCATGCAAGGTGGAGGCTGCAACGTGACGGGCACGGACCGGTGCGCCATGGACCCAGCAGCGCAAATCCCTGCGCTACTGTCGCGCATTGAATACAACTCCTGGTGGATCGGACTCGCGAGAGAAGGAGCTGGAGCCGGGGCCAGCGTCGGAGCAGGAGCCAGAAATGGACTCAAGGTGCGTCTGCTCGGCACGGGTTGTGGCAGTGGAAGGGGCGCCGATGGTGGAAGCTGTAGCGGTGGTGGTGACAAGAATTATGGTATTGCGGTGGCGTTGGTGGCGACTGTGCTGCCCTGCAGCGGGTGCAGGAGTTATTATGGTGCCTTCCGTCGTGTACTGCCTGAACCCGTCGTGCTGCACATCGTCGCACTGGGGGTGCGGGTCGTGCAGCGCACGTGTGTTGATGTAGGAATCCCTGTCATCGCATTCCTCATCGTGTGATTCTGTACGTGCTGTTGAATTTTGTAGTCCATCCCCGCGCCTCATGTGTCGTCTGTTGTCAGCATCAATCGGGGAAATGTGGCAAGAATTTCATGATTCGAAATCGGCCGGAATCGAATCATGACGCGCACTGGGAAACAAATATACCGCCACACAATCAAAATGCCCAATGTTGTCCAAAGGTGGGACATCACGCAGGAGCCGTGTGCGCGAAGTCGTGGTGTTCGACGTCGCGCTGCTTGATGTGGTGATGCGGGGGCAAGATTCGTCCGCCCCCTGTCGCGCAGGCTGCGCTGCGTCATCGCCAGAGTCGAAGCTGGGGCGGGCGTTGGAGTCGGAGCCGGGGCAGGAATCGGGTTTGTTAGTGTTCTGTTATGGGTCCGTTGTTCAGGGTTGGCTGCGGGTCGGCAGTGGCCCGGTTATGTTGTGTGGGTCCGTTGCTGTGGGGCTGCGGTGGGTCGGTGTCTGTGGGTCTCTTCAGGGTAGAATTGCGTCGCTTGTGGTTCGAGTTTGTTGCGTGGGTCGGTGGTTGTGGGTCGGCAGAGGGTCGATTGAGGAATGAATTTGCGGCATGGGTCAATTGCCGACGGCATGCTGCGGATCTGCTCAACATCATGTTGCTCATCGTCATGCTGCCCGTGGCCGTCGTGATGTTCAATTGCCGTGTTGGCGATTGCCGTGGTCTTCGTGCTGCTCAATTTCGTGAAGCACTGTATAATTACCGTCAGGGTATCGGGGGTGCCTTCATCACGCGTGGCTGGCGCCGGTCCAGGTCGGCTGGGTAGACACCCAGGGCCGCCGGCCAGGTAAACCTCGCCGCGTCGGCGTCGGAGCTGGACTCGGGGTCGAAATTGGAGTAGCTGGGGTCGTTATCTGGCTTGGTGTACGATTCCGCCCTGGCAGACAGCATGGGGTCCTGAAAGACGCAATTGATGGGGCCCCTGCGCAAGCGGAGATCGTGGCCCCGCTGCGCCGGGGTCGGGGTCGGAATCGGAGCCTGACTACTCCGATGCGGTGGGCGCCGGCGCATTCGCAATCATATTCTGCAATGTCGGTGAGCTGTCCAATGGCGCACTGCAGAACCCAGCGGGCCGCTGAACGTCGCGCGGCGTCCACGCAGTCTAGAGCTGGCGTGATCGGGGCAGGCGTCGTCAGTGAACATGGTGCCACAGATGCTGCGCCAACTTTCTGCTCGCACCAGAGACGTCCATCACCTCGCCCAGCGGTGACCGATCACATGTGCAATTTTTCATGGGCCTAATTATAAATATCTGTATTGATCCGCCGCCCGCCCGGCCGAAACCTTATTGGCCCATGGATTCCGCGTCTTATTTTCCCCGATGGGTTGTTGCGCAGGGAGTAACGTTGAGTGGGTCGACAGTAGGTAGAGTTTGTTGTGCGGGTCGCCTTCTGCGGGTCAGCTGCGGGGCGGTTGCGGTTCGAGTTCGCTGCGCGGGTTAGGTGCTGTGGGCCTGTTGTGTGGCGGTTGCGTGTCTGCTGTGGATCAGCACTGGGTCGACCGCGGTTGAAGGATGTTGGATGGGCTGGTTGGTGCTGGTCAGCCGTGGTTCGAGTTTGTTGAATGGGTCGGTTGCTGTGGGGTTGCCGTGCGTCGGTTGTTGGCTTTGGGGGCCCCGATGGTATCGCAGCGCCGGGGGTAGTGGATGGGGGGCGCTTGGAATCCGACGTCGGGCCAGGACAGGATGTGGGTGGAAGGGCCGCGTCCTCGAACGCCTTAGCGAAAACGTTGTTTCATTGCGTCGTGAAGGGCTGTCGTCTCCAGGGAGTCTGGACATGCCTCTGACAGTTCGTGCACCTGTGCGTCGCATAGACCAGAATGACGATGGTCGCGAGGGTTTCTTTGGTGTTGGCCAGCGGATTCACCGAGAGAAAAGCGTGGATATTCACGAGCTGGTCTGGGTCGAGGCGCCAAAACTGCGCAGCCAGTCTCTTCGCCACCGGGCACTTCGCGCAATGCTCAATTGCGTCTTGGGTGTGAGGCCCTCGGCAATGGAGGCGCGCTTGGCGTCGTTGACAGCGACGCGCCGTAGCCCATTGATTCCGCATCGTTCTGAAGACCGCCGATTGAACCCTCGGAGTGACCAAATTCTTCAGCAGTTGAAAAAGATGGAGAGCTGCGCGGCCGTGCCAATTTTCCGAGCGCTGTCGGGCCGGGGCCAAACAGGCGATGTGGGCGTGGTCGGGTAGACCAAGGTACCGGCGTCGGTATTTGCGCGGGGTGCGATGTTCGGCTGGCGGAGCGCGCACTTGCAACGGTCGAGCCTGCGCGATAGACTGGAATCGAATGCGAAAAGCGGCCCTGGCCCTCCACGGCGCGCGGCGCGGGGCGCGTCAGTGCCGCGGGGCGGCGCGGCTCGCCCGGCGCCCCCGGCAGCGTCGTCGCGCTCGAGAAATTGGTGTCCAAAAGGAGGTGGTGGGAACGCTGCCAGCTGCCACGCGCAATGCGGGATCGATAGGTCCACTGGACCTATCGATCCCGCATTGCGCGTGGGTCGCTCTTGCGCGCGGTCGGCGGCCCCCAGAAGTGATGTGGGGAACTGGGCGCGTCGGTTGAAGGCGCACTTGTGGTCTTCGTAGTTGGGGGCGCGGGTGAGGGGGTCGATCGAGTAAGGGGGTGCGCGCCGTCTCCCAGGAGGTGGGAGTCCAAGGGGGCGTCTGGTTCAGCGGGGTGGTCAATGCAGGCTGCGCCCCGCAGTCGCGCGCGTACTTGTACTGCTTACACGGTGAGTCGAAGACTTCGGGGGGCACTTGGAAAGTGGCAGGGGTGTTGCAGCCGCCATAGATCTTTCGGGGCGGTCAAATTACCCGGTACATGAGCGGCTCGTCGTGGACATTGCAACTCAGCGTTAAAAACTTCCTCCGTCGGTTCGCTGAGGTGCGCCGCAGAGGCTTCAAAGGCCAACGCCGAGATCCCAGAGGCATTGCGTGCGAGTGCAGAGCAATGAAGTCCCCCCTCGTGGCCCGCCCATAAAGAAACTCGTTGTTTGAACTTCGCCACTGGGTCCTTCCAGAGCCAGTCCTGGCTTCCCGGGCACGCGTGGAATCCCGAGTGCTTCCCTGCGAGCGCCATTTGGGTGGTGGGTCAGCTCGGTGCCGACGCGTCTAGGTGAGACCGCGCTGTCGGGGGCGGGGGGGTGAACGACGGAACGGCGACCGTCCTCTGCAAATTAAGACACAATCCGAACGTGGCCGCGACTTCGTCGAAGAGTGCTGCCAGCCGGGGGGCGCCCCTCCGAATATTTGCAGCGATAGCGGCGGTGTCGTCGGCCTCAGCTCGTGCCAAGAAACCCGGGCAAATGGCCTCGGTCTTGTCCAGCAAAAGCTCTGCGCATATGGCGTGCCGCAAGGGGCAGTGGGCGCCCCTGCCGGACGCCCGCTGCCAGGGGGATCCTTGGCAAGGTTTGCCCGTGACTCGCCATCTGGCACCGGCTGTTGTCGCGCAGGTGCTTCGCCGGAGCCCGGGCCGGCGCCGGCAGCCCCCGATGGCGCACCGCGTCGTGTAAGTGCTCCTGCGAAAGCGACGGGAACGCGGGCGCGAAGTCGAAGAGGGCGGTGGCGCCAGAGCCCGGTTGGAGCGCATCGGTCACGCTGGCAAAGTCGGTGTCGAGAACGTTCTTGTATATCCAACGGTGCCGCGGGCAGCCCTGCTGCGGCGGGCAGACCCATTCTGTGTTCGCGATGGACAGCAGACGCGTGCTGTCCGCCGCGTAGACGTGTCCATTGCTCGGATTGCTGGTCAACTTCTGTTCTCCCCCCAGTTGCACGAGGGCTCCCAAATTGAAGTCGCGGCCTGAACAGGTTGATAAAGATGCAAGGCCGTCGTGATGACCCAGCACCTGCGTGAGGAAGGCCGAGGCCCTCCTCCCTCCTCCTGGTGCTGGCGCAGTGGGGGCTGGGCAGCAGGCAGGGCGCGGTGCGCCGGGGTGCCACCTCCTCCTCCTCAGCCTCCTCCTCCGCCGCCTTCCTCAACCTCCAGGGTTAACGATGAACCCGCCGCGGGGGGAGGAGGGAGGAGTGGGGAGGGCGAGGAAGGTCATCTCTCTTCCTTCCTTTTGTTCCAGGCTGCCGCCTTCAGACGAGGTGCTGTTCCGAGGCCTGAGCATGAGAATTCCCCCTTTTCGCCTCGAGTCTGGAGTCGGGCATGCTGGCCCCCCCTGCGCCCTTCCCAAAACTGTGGAGGAAGGGGGACTGCTGTGTTTGCTCCTCCTGTGGGAGGTCTGCCAAGGCCGCGCCTGTGGAGCTCCTCGGCGAGTGTGAAGCTGTGCGTTTTTGACCCACCAAGTTTGTCAAAGCTCAGTATGCTGCCCTCATGCGCCTGAGGAAGGGTTTACCTCCGCGGAGTGGTGTTCGCGACTGGGGTCGCGAGTTTGGCGTTGAAGGGGACAGTGCGGCATAGTGCCGCCCATGCCTCTTGCCTCCTTTGTTTGGTGGGGCGGCGGTGGGTGAGCTCATTGCCTCCTGTTTACCCAACTATGCAATCCCCGTCAAGCTGCTTGCATCTGCTGCTGCTCCTAGCCAAAAAACGTTCTCTCCGGCTGGTCTTCGGGCCACAGCTCGCCATCGTTCGGACGTCTCGGGGATGGACAGAACCCCCTTTATAGTAAAACGTGGTTTAGTGAAATCGACCTCGGGCCCAACAAACCTGGCGGGCGCAAGCCTGGAAAACAACGGCCGCGGCGCCCTCTCGAGAACCGAAAACGGACAATCCACTAATCGACGTGTCAGGTGTCAGGGTGGGGGCTCTGTCCCCCCCCGAACGTCCCTTCCCCGTGCAGTCTCCGAAACCCTCATTTTGCCGCAGGATAGCCCAGGATGCTCCTCGAGGGAGCTCGCCGAGAAACGCTGCACACGTCCGAGCGATGCCAAGACAACTCAGGTCTCGGGCGGCCGACCTGTAGCGAGCCTCGGCTCCCCGGGAAGCTCCCGACGAGGCTCCCCGGGAAGCTCCCGACGGGGCGCGGTCCCAGGGCCCGTGGAGGGCCTGGGAGGGGGGGGGGGGGCAAAACGCCCAGGACAACTTTTCTCGGGACCCCGCCGAGTACCCGTCTCCCCAGACATCTGACGTCTTGACTGTCTCACAACGACGTTCCTCACAAAACCTGCCCTCTGAATGGGAACCGGCTCTTCACCCCAGGCCGTTTCTCGACGGTCCCAGCCCCAGTGAGGGCCCCTAGAGGCCGAACATGATAGAACGTGATCGTGGCCGTGACGCGGGTATGTCAGATTCTATCTTCGCTGGAAGAATAAGCAACGACATAAACAGTATTATCGGATCCATCCACCGCGGATGCTTATGCCTCTGTTGGTCTTCGACTGCATGACGAGATCCCGCAAAATCACGACCGCAGAAATCACCCCCTCTTTTTGATGCAATTTTCGAGCTGAATCGATCCGTGGCGGTCCCAGGGGCCGGAACCCGGTGAAAATTGCCCGATGCGAAAAAATGCGAACGCCGGAATATCAAGTGGTCAGCGTCATGACGAACTCCTCCCCCCGCCAGCCGCCTCCGGACGCACTGGGTGGCGGTCCTCACGAGGCGGCCGCCTGACTGGCGGCGCCTGGCGGTGGACCTCGCCGCAAGCTGCCAGGCTTCGTCCGGCCCTGCCGCTGCCCCTCCTCCTCCTCCTCCTGTTCTGCACGGCTCCTCCGCCCTCCTCCTCCGCCCTCCTTCTCCTCCTCGCCCCCTCCCCCCTCTCTCCTCGCCTCCTCCTCTTCCTCGTCCCCTCCGCCTTCCTCCTCTCTCACTTCCTTCTCTTTCCCCTCCTCCTCCTCCTGCTGCTCCTGCTGCTCCTGCTAGCCACTTCGGTCCCAAGCGCGGCGTCAGGGCCGCCGAGGGACTTGGGAGCAATAGTGCAATTCAAAATTGTATTTTGGAATGACAAAAACGGGTGTCCTGCAGGAAACGGGTCCCGGACCCAGGGGTCCTTTCCCCAAGACCAGTTCAGTTCGGCATCCTGCGCTGATTTCTGACAGTCCCGGGGCCCGTGGAGGGCCCCGGGAAATCAGAGAAGCCCAAACACCTCACGGCCCGTTTCCCTCGGGACCCGTTTTCTTCCTGGCGAGTAGCGCCCTCCAGAGACCAGCCCACGCTCATCTGCCGGCGAGGCCACTTGGGGCACGGCCACTCATCCCAGCAGTGCCACCAGCCAGGGTCGATGATCCTCAGAACGTGTGCCAGCGCCAACGTGTGCTTGCCCGCCGAAATCTTTCAATACGACGCAGGCGGTGTAATGAGGGGTGGCGCAGGCTGCGTGCCATCGGCGGAGCCGAACGAGGTAAACACACGCTTGGGCTGACACACGTCCCGAGGAACCTCAAAAGGGGGCACGGTCACTCGTCACAGCCGTGCCGCCACCAGGCAGGGGAGAGGTTCGGCCCCGAGGTGCCGTGGCGGCGGCACAAGACCGGCGAGGCAACGACGGGCCACGCCGCACGGCGCGGCCTGCGCGCGCGGGGGGCGAGTAGCTGCGACGCTCATCGGCAGGGTGCCATGCAGAGATCGCAGGCACGGAGGGCGAGGACAGGAGCGACCAACAGGCACTGCGGCAGTGACACACAGTCAAGGCTCATATAGTAAGGATGCGCGGTAAGGATGCAAAGGCCTTGTAAGGCCGTGCAGACGTTTCTCGAACGGGGCTGGCCAGCGAAAGATACCAAGGATGGGCCGACGGGAAAAAGATGCAAGGATAGCCTTGGAGAGTTGCTCATCCTAACTATGCGAGTTGACATTGACTGCACCAAGCGACCAACAGACACTGCGCCAATGATGTGCGTGCCGGTCAGCAGCCGGGGCAGCGGCAGAAGCGCCGCGACGCTGTGAGGGCAGCGAATGCTCTGCATACGGGAGCGAGGGGGCAGCGTTCGGGCTCTTTGCCTTGAAAGGTGAAAGCCCCCCTGAAAGAAACACCCAACCAACAAAAGCACGCAATCCAACCCTGGCAGCCAGGAGAACATCTGGGAACATTCCGACCTTTGTGCATGCCCCGTGAAGCGAATCAACTGCACCATCGAGCAGCGAGCACTGGCAACAGAGTCGATGGTCGCCATACGTTGCACCACCGAGAAGAAGGATGCCGTGGCAAGACAGACCTTCACCAACTACACTGTTAGGAATTGCAATACGGCGAAAACGGAGCCTGACGCCAGCAAAATGCAGCAGTCCAATGCAGTGTCGTGCGATGGTCCGGAAGGTGTAGGCGGAGTCAGACGGCTTAAATGCGAGACACGACAGGCGGGAAAGGACTTCAAACTTGGGGTCAGCTCGTGTTGTTGGCCCAACAAAGCGGCGGAGGCGGCCGGGGATGATACAGTGTTTGAAAGCAATGGGCTTCGTGCCACTTCGCTCACGTCAACCTCGTTTCAGCTCGTGTAGTAACCAGCTTGTGCTAGAAAAGGTGCGGTGACACAACTGTGAGATAAGCCATTACGAGAAGGCAGGAAAGCTGGGGCGAAGACGGACCCAGACGCCATCAACTTGAAGGTCACATGGCGTGCGAGGAAGGAAGCCACTGGTAGCAGGCGGAGCCGCGGCGAGGAGACACATGCCATCAGGGATGGTCCGTGCGAGAAGAAGGACCAGTGGCAGCAGACCGAGCCACCGTTTGCGAGAGACGAAAAAAATGGGAACATTGGCGTCGAGTCATAAGGGGCGCCGAGTAGGGCCACAACAGTGGGAGGGAATCCTCGGTGCAACCCCGGGCAACGACGTGCGAGAACAGACTGGAAGTGCAGGCTTGTGTGGTCGGTGCAAAAAAAACAGCGGAGGTGCGCGGGGGCGCAAAAACGTGCGGAAACATAGCTTTTGGTGCCATTGCGCTCAAACCAACCTCGTGCCACTTCGTTCGAGAAGAACTCCACGGCTGCGAAGATGGGGGCCAGCTCGTGCTAGACAGCTGAGATACAGCCAGGTGCGGCAAGGCAAACACATGCAACACATATGAAGCGCATATGAAGCCGGGAACCATCAACTGTAGCAATGCGAAAACGGCAACACTGTATTCCAAATGGTTCAATAAACACCCTCCCATGCCGCCCCGCCCTCCGCTACCCCCCCAACCCCCCAGTACGTACACGCGCACACGCGCACGCACGCGAACGCGCACGCGCGCGCACGCGCTCACGCGCACACGCACACACGCTCACATGCACGCGCGCACGCACGCACTGACGCACGCGCGCGCGCACCCGCTAGCACGCACGCGCGCACTCGCGCGCACGCGCGCACACGCACGCACTCGCGCACGCACGCGCGCACGCACACACGCGCACGCGCACACGCGCACACACACGGATATCCCCTCAAGCAGCACTGGTAAACTAAAACCTCTTGAGCCTAGTAGGCAGGGGCTCAAGAGGGAGGAAAAGAGGGACGTGCACGGCTCAGATGATGACGACGACCCTTTTTGCCAAAGGGGCCGTGCCGCTCCCTGTGCTGGCGCCCGGCGCTCCACGCGCCGGCGCCGTCTTCGGCCACGCGCAGCGGGCCACGCCGCGCCGCCGAGGCACTGTAGTGCCAGGCGGCGCTGTAAAAGTCCAGAAAAGGGCGGGTAGGGAGCCCTGCGGGGCTCCCAGGGTGGGCCAGCTTGGCCTTAGAAAGGCTTGAGCCGCGGAGCGGCGGTGAAGAGAGAGGGAGAGAGAAAGGGCAAGCAAGAGGCAAGGGCAGGAGCAAGGGAACCGCAAGTGGAAGCCCGCGCCAGTTCTGGAGTCGGGGAGATCCATCAGTTTTACCAAACATCCTAGATATCCTCTCAAGCAGCACTGGTAAACTAAAACCTCTTGAGCCTAGTAGGCAGGGGCTCAAGAGGGAGGAAAAGAGGGACGTGCACGGCTCAGATGATGACGACGACCCTTTTTGCCAAAGGGGCCGTGCCGCTCCCTGTGCTGGCGCCCGGCGCTCCACGCGCCGGCGCCGTCTTCGGCCGCGCGCAGCGGGCCGCGCCGCCTCCTTCCCCCTGCGAGCGCTCCACCACGCCGAACTGGCTGTAGTGGGACGCGTAGCCGCCGACCTTGTCGGCGTAGCACAGTCCTTGCATCCGCGGCAGGCCGCCGCGTCTGCCCAGCAAGGTGGGTCCGCAGGCGCAGGGCGGCAGGCCGCCGGCGCCCGCGGTGGTTCTTCGTGCGCCCTAGGCAGCAGCCCTGGCTGGGCTGGCTGCCGGCGCCCCCGTAGCCGCCACCGCCGCCCCCCATGACGGCACTGCCGGTTGCCGGGCCGGCCGGCGCACTTGCCCTCAGGCGCCAGCTGCCGCCGCGCCGCGCCCAGCTGCTCGCAAGCGCAAAGTTGAGCGTGGGCGCCAGGCTGAGCTCAGCCGGCGCCGCGCTTCCGCTCGCACGGCGTATGCCGGCGGCGGTGGTTCCCACGCGCCCCGCGCGGCAGCCCTGGCTGGGCTAGCCGCCGGCGCTTCCTCGAAGCCGCCACTGCTGCCCCCTTGGCGGCACTGCCGGGTGCCAGGCCGGCGCGGCGCCTGCCCACGGGTAGCCTGGCCGCGGCGCGCGCCCAGCCGTTCGCAAGTACGAAGCTGATGCGGGCGCCAGGCTGAACTCAGCCGGCGCCACGTGGCCGCTCGCACGGCGGTTGCCGGCGGCGGTCCCTTGCTGCCCGCTCGGCCGCTGGCCGGCGGCAGCCCGCGCCCTAGTCACGGTGCGGCCTCTGCTCCCCTCCACGGGGCCATCCTGATGACCCGCGGTGCCCTGACGGGGCCATCTCCCGCGTCACCTCGTTGGCCCGGCGGAAGCCCTGGGTCTCGTGCACGTACCTCACGCCATTGTAGTGCACCGGGCCCATCACCCCTGCGTCGCAAAACGTCCTCTGCGGCTGCTTGGGAGGCTTATGCACCTTGGGCGTCTGCTGCGCGGCGGCCTGCTGCACGGCTGGCCCCTGCCTACCCTCGTCCTCCTTGGCCATCTTGCAGCAGCAGCCACCAATCACCCCGATGCCTGCTGCAAGCAGCACTGCGATCGTGGCACCCGCCTTCATCGCCGTTCCCACCGGGACAATGATCGCCACCGTACCCATCTGCGGCTCCCAGCGAAGCATGGCCCCCTGGGCCTTGCCGTCAACAGTCGCCACTTCTCGGCTCTGTACCTCTCCGGCTGCTGTCGTGAGCGCCGTCGCCACCAGCGCTGCGCACAGCATGCCTGCGCAGGGGGCGCGGATCCTGCAGCTGCTGCCGCGCCCGCGGGCCGCTCCTCTGCGCCTTCGCTGCTGCTCGCGCCGCCATGCAGCGCTCAGCAGCACGGCTGCCAGTAGTGCCCCCGCCGCCGTCGCCCAAGCTCCCAAGCCGACCGGGAGCGCGAGGATCAGCAGATTCTGACTCTCCACCGGGCTGACCTTGAGCGCGTAGCCGTCTGCGCTGCCAGCCGTAGCGGCGAGCGTCGTCATGGTCAGCGCTGCTTTGGGCCAAAGCGGGGTCGGGCTCCTGCACGGCGCGCGCCCTCGGCCCCATGGGCCGGCGGCGCCGTGAGCTCGGACACATCCGTCGCCATGTTGGTCGAGATGCCGCGCATGGGCTCGTGGCTCTCCCACAGGTACCCGTGGAAGCTATCGGAGGCCCAGCGCCCGAAGCGCTTGACG